AGTGAAGCTGTCAATTCTGCTCTTACCAAAAACCCTCCCTTTCTAAGAAGTTGGGAAGACTGAAGAAACACAATTTTAATTTCAACAGTTCCCACTAGTTATGTCACTCAAATCTTTGTAAACACGTGTAACTTTGTAACTTTGTTGAAAGCATTATAGAATAATAGAAAACCAAATTAAAAATGGCTTATCTATTCCAGACAATTTTTCAATAGATTTTCTAATGCTTTTTTTTTGATTGATTTGAAATGTCGGAAGTTATGGGGCTTCTTTCTGATTTATGCAGTGTAAAATAGTCTGATAGATATTACTCCCTGGTTTGTTGTAGTAAAAAGTTTCTGATAATCTGGAAGTAAAACATCTGTAGGCTTTATCCTACAAACTCTTACTCAAATCAGATCCTGTTCCATTGAAGCCAGTGGGGATTTTTTCATTAGGTTCAACAGGAGACAGAAGCTGGCAGTCTACCCAGGATAGTGATGCCTTTGCAGGTGAAGGAGCTTTGATTTGGAACTGGAGCATGAGCTTTCTGGAAGTAATCATGAAGCAGACAAGGAAAAAGAGTGCAGCTAGAAACACTTGGAAAGGGACATGAGGAAAGTTTGGTCTTCTGTGGACTGGGCAAACCATGATAGTGGATACCCTCAGAGAGTACACACACAGGACACAACTGTCTTTTCTGCCCAGCTGCAAAGTTTTACATAGCAATTCTCCTCAGCTTCAAATGTAACAGGACAAAATAGTCATGCTCTTCTTGGCAGTACCTGGGAATTCATAGTTTGAACACAGGTTTAGTAGCTGTAGGTACACTAACAAGAGCAGAGGCAATTGGTGCCTCCCAAGTCTGGTGCCAGCGGGGCATAACCAGTGGGGTTCCCCAGTGGCCAGCCAGCAACCGGGAGGCAGGGGGAGTGTGCCAGCGGCATGGCATGGTGGCGATGGAAATGCCAGCACTTCCGCCACCAAGGTACTGCCAGCAGAGCCAATTTCAGGGGGGGCACTAGCCTCCCTACAAGCCGAAGCACTCACTGTTGGGGGGGATCAGTGCTCTCAGGGGGGGCATGTGCCCCCCCCGTGCCCTTTTATGCATCTCCTATGAACAAGAGAGACAGACCATATTGAGCTAAGCTCCAGTTGCTGTCTCAGCAAAGGGCTGCTATAGTGCTATCTCAACAAAGACGGGGAAATTTACAGATAGTGCTTATTCCCTTTGCACAGATGCTGAAGGTGAGTAAATCCAAACAATCCAGCATTTTCCACCTTGAAATGAAGCTTCAATTGGAATCTTATCAAAAAATTCTTGCCCTTTGGTATAATCTGTTTCTCTCATTGAATTCAGTCTGAGAAATGAAACTGACCTGCTTTTCCTGGCCAACCCAAACTCCTGCTTGTTATTCAATTTCTAGATGTCTCAAATGTAATTACAATTTGAGGAGAACAAAATTAAATGAAAGAAACTGTAAATATTGCTGGTGCTATTTTGTTTGATATGAAACCTTCACTACAAAAAGCTTTTAAATAAATGAGTCCAGCTGTTGCCTTGCAACACTTGAAATGTTGATGTCCATGTTTAAATACTTCATGGAGCCGGTCACATCAGTTTAGACCTAATAAAGTTTACATTTCTGGCTGGGATTTTTGAAGGTTCCTAAGCAAAATCAACTCCCACTGAAGGTCAGGATGAGGTGGGCACCAAATTGACTTTCACTGGTAGCTGGATGCCTTTCTAAAGTCAAGTCTCACCTTTGGTAAATGCAGGGCCAAATCCCTGGCTGGTGGAAATCAGCATAACTCTATTGACACCTTTTTTGCCAGCAGAGCATCCAGGCAACAAAGTTCCACAAACCCTGAGATCATCTGAAGAATGTCAAGATGTGTTTTTTGTTAATTTTACTGATAGAGGCTTTAGTTTGCATTAAATATTCCCCAGCAATCTGCAGCACATGCAGTCTGAACATTGTACTTTGTGCTAAAGCTTGGGAGCAAAGCAGTTGAAAGTAGCTACATGCTAGCTAGTGTTGTTTGAACTCTCCAAGATGAGCAAACTACAAAAAAATAAGCTGGCAGTATTAATAACTGAGCTTAGAGCTTTATAACTTAATTTTAGGCTCCTGCAGTCATTTGTACAATCCATTGACTCTAGTAGTACTCCAGGAGGCCCAAGGACCATGACTGGCAAAATCAGGGCCTCAGTCATTTAAGTTTATTTTAATGACCCATTTAGATAATGTATGGTCCATCTCCTCTTATGCCCAATGCAAATCCATTGCAGGCATGGAAATGCCCCCAATGTTAACAAAAGCAAAATTTTATTCTATTACCTGCAATTTGAAAAGCCATCTTCAAGAAAATCCCAGAATTTCAACTGTCCACAAGTGATTTCTCTAACAATCCTTCTCTTCTTGGAGTCAATCCCACCTTCATAGTTCAGGATGGTTTCTAAACACAGCACGAACAGTGCAAACTCAGCAGAGTATTTGGGGGCTGTGTGATACCCAGTACAAATTGACACAGTCAGTTAATGTACTAGGCCAAGATACAGCTCTGGACAGAAATGATTAGATAAAATGAATGTGATTGTCCAATCTTAGCCCTTAGAAGAGAACTGACTGGATCATAACAACACTATAAACTTCATTGCAAATACTAGTCTCTGCCCATTAGAATCCGATGCTTATAATAGCAGAGAGAAGTATATTTTAGGATCTGTATGCAATGGCAGAACAATAATGTATAGAAAAGCTTATGCAACACTGATCTACACTGTTCTTGGGCCAAGATTACAGTACACTGTTAACACCCTGCTTTCACAGCCATCATATTTTCCTATCTTTTAAAAAAGGTTTTACAGATTACAGACTTGTCTTTGACAGTGAATAACTGGGTATTGATAGCACAAATAATAAGCTTCCTTGGCTAAAGAAAAACAGCAATTGCCACACAGTCTTGAGAACACTGAAAATAGCCCTGTGGCTATCTTAGTGATCTGCTACTTAGGTGTCTCATATTGTTTAACTAAATATTCGCCACCACACACTTAGCCAACTTACAAAATGTAATATGTCACTTTACCATTTTCTTCCATTGTATAAGCCTTGTGTTCTCTTTGTCTTGACTTTCCCACACTATTCTCTACCAGGAGAACTGTCTATACACTTTTTAAATTTAGGTATACTTTATACTCATTTACTCTAAACTAGTTTCTTCTTGTTGCATTGAAACCATTAGACCTCAAAGGTAGTTTGGCACCAAACTCCCAATGGGAGGATCTGGGCTTTAGCTTCTTGCGGCCTGGACCTTGCTTTTCTCCATGGTTATAATGGACTGATTGATAAATATACTAATGTTCTTAGCCTATCTATTTACAGCTTGATTGTTTCCCTCTTACTCAGATGCGAAGGAGAGTAGAGTAAGTTCTTCCTTCCTCATCTTTCTGCTCAGTTAAGGTAGAAAAACATGGATCTTTGGGCTGGCTTGTGTGTGAACCCATGATCTCCAGAGGATCCCACCTAAGTAATGTGTATTGAGGGGCTCCATCCCCAACTCCAGTTGCTGGTAAGAGTAAATTGCCAGGCACAAGTAGAGAAACATGCTGTGTCTTACAAGGGGTTAACTAGATTCTCTGTTCTAAGAGTTGCCCCAAGAGATTCAGCCTAACCACAAGAGATATCTGATTGCAACCTCAGAATTGCTTCCATGATGGTCAATTCTACATTAGTAGGTACTGAATGGAGGCATCACTGAATTAATCTAGGAAGAAGCAGCTTCTATAGCACAACTGGTTTCTTTGTATTAATTTAATTTGCATTTAGACAAGAAAAGGAAACCTTTAAAATGGCATATGATGATTCAGTGCAGCTTGGTTATGATATTATCTTCTAAAGTGTGCCAATGACAATGTATTCTAGCCATTTAAGAAGCCACAGGTTAAATCCTCAGTGTCTTAATCATACAACAAGGGACATGGGACATGATTCTAATCTCATTTATGCTGATGGAGATGAGGAATGATCCCACTGCAGTCAACAGAGATTTCCAGCTGCTGCAAAGTTCAAATGATGCTACCTGTATGGACACGTTGTACCAAAACTCCTTTACCACTGAATTTTAGGAAGAGCTTTTTCTTCTTTTCTATGGACATATTAAGTGGCTCAGATTTGCCGCAGTTTAGTCCAGCCAGTAGGTTTTGTTTTTAAAATGTTTAATTATAAAACCTCAAGTGAAATTCTCCCATTATTTTTTATTTTCAAATATAAAAAGGACTTTAAAAATGAATTTTACTATCACCTTTCAGTTTTAATAACCTAAACACAAGAGCATTGAAACAGACATAAAAATCAGATGATGAAATAGATTCCTACTGCAAATGAAATCGATCTATTTACCTGTATTGTTCCACAGAAGTGCAAGGGAAAAGAAACGGCAGAAATTGTGAAAAGTAAATCAGATATTTAAAATGTTTAAAACTGAAATGTTCTAAAAGGCATGCTGGGTATTAGCAATGATAATTTGTTAACTTTAGAGTCCTGTGATCCAATTGCCATTAGCTTCAGTGGCACTGAGCCAGGCTCCATTTGACCTGCTCATTTACTCCCTTGAAACCTCACTGACTTTAATGGCATTGACTGGGGTAAAGCTAGCAAGAATTTGATCTAGATTTCTTACCTTTTAATATCTCTGTAATTTAATTTAATCCCTTATTTTGACTGCTCATGATACAAAATGCCATATGACAGCCATTAACTTGTCTAATTTTCTGTTTCCATGTTTTTCTCACTATTAATGCAGTTCTCATTGACGTCCTCTGCCTGTTCATGATGAGCACTCGGATCATTTTATGTAGCAAAATGAGGAGTTATACATTTTCCATTTCTCTAATCAAGACCCTGTCATTATCATCACCAAGGGCCAGAAAACACGTAGAGAATGATAAAGTTACATGAATGTTAAAAATGGACTTTGTCAAACTGTTTTTCAGCATTTTTTACTTTTTCTGTGCGCATAGTTGCTTATAATAATCTATTGTAATCTATTTCCATTGTAATTTATTTTCATAATGCAACCTATTCACTATATAAGCATTACTATTGCTTGTTTGTTATGCTCAGTTGTTCAGTCTTGATTGGGCACAATACAAACAGAGTTTGAAAAGTCCTTATTTTGTTATTGTAGAGTTACCTATGAGACTTGTTTATATGGCTAGTTTCAATTTAATTTAATTGGTTTAAAGGAAACTATATTCATTCAATTATAGAAGGAAAAATAACTTAGAAAAGGTTGGTCACATGTCCTTTGGAAACAAACATCAACAAGGAAAAGTAGACCAAATCTTGATTCTACTACTTTTGACAGCGTCCTTTTAAAGGGAAGACTGAATGACATTCTAGGGGTCCAATTCTGTTCTCAGTTATACCAGTGTAATTCCAGAGGAGCTCTATTGACTTTGATGGAACTATTTTTGATTTACACTGATACATTTCATGGCAGAAGTTGACTTTACAATTATAGTGTTTCACAACAGGAATCCATTTAGAGACATGAGATGTGTTTGTTTTTCACTGACTTAAATAGGAGTGCAATAGCATAGACATCACAGAATAAGGCTTACAATGGTTTCTGTTTCTGTCTCAGACATGCTACATTCAGAAGTCAGGTCCCAAGCAAATGGGAGAAAAAATAAAGTGAATTATAGAATTAATTACAATTTGTGAATTAAAGAATTTAATTCTGGAGAAGTGAAAGGTAATTTCTCCCAAGGCCATCAATTCCTTATCCCTTAATCTGAATTTAGCATAAATGCAGGAAATCAGCTGCAGAAGATTTCTTGGGGGCTCCATTATGTTTTATTGGTCATATTGTCTTCTGTGCCCTGTTTGTGGAACAGAAAGAATGGGAGAACAGAGAGTAGCAATCTGAGCAGTGCAAAGAATACCAATGGAAATCCCTCCTCCACCAAAAAAACTTTAAAAAGAATGAGAGATCTTCTAACAGAACGTGTCCTACTCAGTTTGCTCTGCCTCTCTGATGACATTCACTTCCTACTGATTTCCACACTGATTCCACACTAATTTTCAAAGTATTTCTTATTGTTTTTCATTTTACCTATCCACGCTTGTCTCTGCCAGCCTGTTATTCATAATTGCCAGGGCTCCTATCCCGCCAGAGAATCCATTTTGTCTAGAATTAGAGCTCATTTGCCTGGGATACCCATTGGCAGTTTCTGACAGCTGTTTTTGCATGATGGCCAGTGAAACTTTGTTGGAAGCTAAAAAATCTTTCATGGAGATCATCTCGCCAGACAGTCGACGACCATCTGTGTCGCTCTCGTTGATGCCGTCGGTCTCAATGGAGATGTTTCGCCGGTTCCGAACATTCCCTGGCATCACCACGTTCCTCCGTGACCTAAAAAATTTTCTTTGGCATCTGTGGCAGCACCGGCAATCCATCTTTTTCAATATCCAATTTATAGACTGTTTGATGACAATAGAGATCACATTAAATAAGGAGTAGATACAGCAAACCCCCATGAGTATGAAGATAAAGTTGCCAAACCGGTAGAGGTCTTGACTTTCATACTGTGCATTCTGGCTGCTGACCAAGTCACCAAAACCAATAGTGCTGAAGGCCACAAAGCAAAAGTAGAGTGAGTCAAAATAACTCCATCCTTCAATTGGTGTGTACATTGCAGAGGCACAACAGGAAATAATAAGTGATGCTATGCATAAAATGAGCATGACATAGTACACAGAAGGTTTCCAGCCTGCCAAGCTGTCCACCTCAGAGTTCCCTGAACCTCGTCGGCCATCGTGAGGAAGGACCCCTTTTCTCCTTAGCTGTCTCTCATGGCAAGATTTCATGACGTAGGCTATGACTGTGATCAAACGTTCCAGGAACAGGTTAAAGAACAAAATGGTCCCTGCACATCCTATAAGGCCGTAAAATATCAGAAAAATTTTGCCTCCAACGGTGGCTGGGGTGGTCATGCCAAACCCTAGGAAACAAAACAGAGCAGTTAAGTAATGTAAGCTATTAGTTACAGCATCAGAGTTTTGCCACCTGCAAGGCAGAACTATCACAAAGTCCTTGTGGTGCAGCTCAGCTCCAAGACAGTACCTAGGATTTCTCTTTGACTTTTACAATCCCTACTGCTCCAGTGCTAAAAGGAATCAAGAGGTTACAAATGCACAGTATCAGCATGTCTCTGACTAGGGGAAAACTGAAATGAAAGGTGAAATGTGAAGAGAAGCAGTGTTTATTTGAGAAGCTAAGCTTCAGTCTCTTGTCTTATTCATACTTTACCTCTCTGTGTCCCTTGGATGAGGTCTGATATTCAGAGTGACTACATTGACTTCACTTACCCTCTCTGTTTTGCATTGTAGGTCTGATCCAAAACTCAATGAAGGCAACAGAAAGACTTCCACCAACTTCAGTGGGGAACAGATTAAGGCACATGCTGGCGCACTGCTTAAGTTTTCTTTCTTTCCCCTCATCTCTCCATGTTCTGCTCAACAGCTCGGTTTTACATTGGAGCAGTAAAGAAGTTACCATGCAGTCCTGTCTCCTGCCCTGTTGTATCTTTACAAATATACCCTTGTTCTCTTTTTCTTTCCAGTCTGCAAATCCCCTTTCATTTAGATTAATAAGACAACATTGATAACATTGATAACAGCTGTAATAGGCTGTTTATAAAGAATTAACACTGAATAAGCAAGTCCTAAATATGAGGGGACAAATTAGAGGAAATAAGTCTCCTGAATGTGTTTGCTGCAGTTTGAATAGGCTCTAGAAAAGTGTAGTAAGTGACTAATTAGCAGTTCAACAAAGCTGAAGCAGACATATTGAGGGAACAAAAAACAGCACTTTAAGTAAGACGCACATCTACATTTGTCCCCTCTCAGTAATTGCAGCATATTCAATGCATAAAGAGTCTGGGATATGGGAAATGAGGAAAACTTATTCATTAAAAGTTTCAAAGGCAATGCCCTTGTGTTAGAGAAGACAAATGCAATACGAGGAGCAAAAAACACCACACATTTATATCCATGTCATCATTAGTGCTGGGCTATAGTCCTTTTCCCTTCATTAAAAAAATCTTCCTCCCAATGTCAGTCCTTATATCCCCCAATTGCTTCTTATTTCTTCACAGCTCCTTGATGCAGGCGTTGCTGACAGTCTAACTCAGGTTGGCATAATGATTCCCCACCTTCCTCCTTTTTGTGCAGGTCAGAATACTGAAGCTGACAGCTGTGTTCTTGAGCATCACTGAGTGCCCTGGAGTGTTTGCGGTGAGTGCAGTTCAAGCTCAGGGAAATCAACTAACTAGCTAGCTTTGGTCAAGAGAACCACTCTTACAACAGCTAGGGACAGAAGTTACACACAAACCAGTATAAGAGATTGGAAACGAGTTTAAATGTGTAACACAACAGAAGTTCAGTTTAAGATGGGTAGATGTAATATCAGACTTAACTGATTTAGGTTAAATTGATTTATTGAACTTCTGTCCCAGATCCCCTCCAGATTCAAGTTAACTCACAGTCTCTCAGCACCCCAGGATGCTTTTCACCTCCTACGCCAAACCCCCCTCATAGGGTGGGCAGGCTAGCCTTGGCCCAAGCTGAGCAGGGAGGCATGCTCTAGTGCCCCCCATAGCTTGGCCTAGGCCATTGCAGGCATGTGGTTGCATTTCCAGAATCAAAAGTGAATGTCTGTCCACTTAATTACTGGTTCAATTTACACAGCGTAGACTAACCTACAAAGATTGCATCTATTCAGCTTTGGGCTTTTTGACTGTCTGTACTTAGCCAAGATGTTCATCTTGGCTAGGGACAGAAGTTACATATAAACCACTTCAAGTGACTGGAAAATGGTTTAAATCTGTAATAGAACAGAATTTCAGTGCACATAAGCCAGTTCAAAATGGGTGAACCCAGTTTAAGATAAACCTGGAAGGATGTAGTATCAGGTTTAACTGATTGAGGTTAAACCAGTTTATGGAACTTCTGTCCCAGATTCCCTCCTGACTCAAGTTAGGTCACAGTCCCCCAGCATCCCAGGAACCTTTGTGGGCAGGCAGGCTAGCCTCTGACAGTGCTTCTGTGCTCTGTCCAGCTGGGCTGGCCCTGCCCCGAGCTGTCACAGAGCAGGGGCAGGCAGGTGGCAGGCAGGGCAAAGGAGACCTCTGCCTGACCCGGGCTCCCCCTCCCCTCCAGCTGGGGTCTGCCTGTGGAGGTGGGAAGGGAGTCATGCCACAAGAGTCCTTACCCTTTACCCTCCAGGCTGGGCCTGCTGCACAGCTCTGCCCCCTGCAAGTCTCTGCCTCTGACCCGCTGAGGGGAGGTGGGAACAGAGTCCCACTGCCACGTGGCCCTGGCTCTGAGCCAGCATGGGGAGTTTGCATGGCGGGGGGCTTCCTCCCTGGTTTCTAAGGAGCACAACTGTCCCTGCCACCTGGCACAAGCGTCTGAGCTTCCCAGTGCATCTCACTGGCTGCTGCTGATGCCAGGCTCCAGCAGAATGAACCAGGTGGCCTGGGGAGCTTAAGCCAGGCAGCAGCAGGGACAGGCATGCTCCATACAGGGAGCTCCGATTGGGCTCTGCTGCCCGGCAAAAGCCTCCTTCAGAGCCCAGCCCCAGCAGTAGCCAGAACAATGCAGTGAGCAGCTTCAGGGACTTGTGCTGGGTGGCAGGGCCAATACTTCTTTCTATGGAGCCAGCCCCACTGGGCAGGGACATAGGAAACCCCCCTTGGGGCCAGCCCCCCGCAGCTCTAAGGGCTGAGATTGGGGTGGGGAGTTTCCTTCTGCGCTGGGCATCAGTGACTCACAGGCTCGGCCATATGGAGTGGGAATCATATCCCAGTCCAGAAGGACTCAGGGGCCAGGCCTGGGAGGGGAACTCCTTTCCCTCTCCCCTCAGTGCGTCACTAACTCCTACTGACCTGGCCTGGCTGCAGGGAAGGAAAGGGAATTACCCTCGTCCACCTCCACAGCTGGGCAGACCAGGGCTTGGGGAATACCAGGCCAGCTGAGGGAAACCCCCAGGAGCCTGGAGCTCCCCACATGTGTGCAGATACCCAGCTTGGGACCACCCAGGAACGGGGGACTATTCCCCACTGCAGGGGGACAAGGGGTTGGGGTCATGCGCCAGCCAGCTAATGAGGGATCGCCTGGTGATGGCCAGTAGCCTGGGAGTATGCTCTAGTGCCCTCTTCCTTTTGGCCTGGGCCAATGCAGGCCTCCGCCTGCCTTTCCCATCTCAAAAGTAAACATCTGTTCTGTTTGTTATTCGTTCAATCTATGCAGTTTAGAGAAACCTATAAAGATTGAATCAGTTCTTCCTTGGGCTTTGACTGTATGTACTTAGCCTTTAACTTTCTGCTACTGCCACTCCCAGCATGGACACATTTGCATTCACACAGTAACTCCCTAAAATCTTTAAGAACTAATTTATACGTGAGCTTGGAAATGTGAATCTTTGTGTTCTAATCTTAGTAGGGTCGGTAAGCTGGTCAAATATCGTCAACTGAATGGTTAATTAACAGTATATTTTTGACTGGTCAAAGATTATAGCAATTTTACAAAGGAACTACATTTTTTGTGTAGTTTTCTTGAAAGAAATATTACTTTTTATTGCTTTTTGATACAATAAAAAATTTTGCAATTTTTCTGTATATTATTTGGACCTATTGGCAATTTTTCACAATTTTTTACTGATTTTTGACCAGTCAGTTGACCAAACTTTGATTGGTCAAATACCCTAAAGCTTAGTTTTGTTACTTGTTCTCTGTGTAACTTTCACCTTAGGTACAAGTCTGGATCTCCATACCATGGGCATGTAAGGGCTGACAGGTAGTGAGAAGCAATACCCAGATGGTCTGCAGAACAGCAGGGTAGACAGGATGCAGACTGCATAAGGTAGCTTCCTGGATTGTATATTGAGGAGAATAAGAAAAGGTGACAGTACTCAAGGATTTGGAACCTCACAAATAGGGGAGGTTGGCCACAAGGAGGTAGGGACACACAAAAGTGGAAGAAGGCAAGCAGGTGGAGAAGATGTGGAGACCTCCACATAGTTTTCACTGAGCAGAGTGAAACCTATGGCCCATAGGTAATTACAATATTTTTCTCTAAACTACATTTGCAACAGTAGCAATGCGGTGTGACATCTTCCCAAGATTCCACTCTGCATTCACTGAAACCGACAAGAATTTTGCCTTAGATTTAATAGCTGGAGCCTGAGTGCATCAGCTTAATATCTCTTCTCAATTAAAATTACCATTTGAGCTCATATTTCGAGAGGTGCGTGCCTAGAAGCAAAGACTCTACAATGATACTCAAACAGGTATGACAGGAAATCCATTATGAATTGTAAATAGTGGAAAACACAGACCAGTGAACCAGAAAGCTATTTTGCTGAAAGTGTTTCATGTCATCTTTTTCTTCCTGAGTTGAAGCTCAGTTCTTATCTTTTGGCAAAAATGATCTCATATTTTCCTTTCTACTAAAACTTTAAAAAAATGTATCAACTGACACTAAAACAATTTCATGTAGCATACTAGATGGGAAAACTTAAAAACCCACACAATAAAGATATTAATTTGAATCTAGCCATATTTTCCTTTTTGGGTCTCTGTTTAAAAACAAACTACAGACTATTTGTTACAGCAATAAACCAGTTCAGGAAATGCACTGTAGTTTCATACATGAAGCAATACATTGGGCCAAACTGACCATTGCTATAACTGACTTTTTCAGAATTACACTAGGAACCAGTATGGTTTGCTATATTACAGAGAGATCTAAATTCATTTTGATATATATAATAAATTTGCTAAAAAATTGAGTTTTTCGAAGGACCAGATTAATCACAAATTCAGGTTTTTTGGTGAATAGTTTTGACCAAAAAAATCCTGGGAGTATTTTTAAAAAAAGTCAAACTATTTTACATCAATATGATTTATTTCATTTTGGAAATGCTGCAACATTTTGTTTCCAAAATCTTGACTTCCAATTTTAAAATAGCATTTTTCATGTAAAAATGTACCTGAATTAAAAGGAAAAAATGGCAAAAATAATAAACCAACGATGAACATTTCATTCCAGGTTAAATGACCATTTTTATATTAAATGAAAACACACTTTTGGGGACATGTTTTTTGTTTCACTAAAAAACTTCCCCCCCTCCCTACCCCCAGTTTCAATCAATCTTAACTGATTTTTTCAGTTTGGCCACCAAAATAAAAAATCTATTATTTCCCCAGTTCTGTTCAAGGATAATGATTGTCTTAAAGTGCCCATGATACAGACAGCCCAGCTGGCTACTGCAATCACTATCTGGTGGTGAACTGTTTCCTTTTCTTCTTTTCTGTTGTTTTTTGGGGCATAAGGGATCATGTGGATCGTTGTTGGCAGTCCCTTGGAGTCAAGGATGACATCCACCAGGCTGGATGGGTCCTCAGGTGACTGAGGAGCCCAATTCTGGATACACACATTCTTCGGCAATGGGGGCATGTTGTTGCATGGGGGAGTGGGATTTGCAGCCCTGGGTTAGTCTCCTTCTCCTTCCTCCACTGCTGCCGTTCCACCTCAGTATCGAGTTGTTGGGCCTTGAAGTGGTGTGTGTCTTGGTGGACCAGGTGGTGCCACACCAAACGATCAGCAGCTTGCTCCTTCCAGCTATTGGTGTTGATGCCTCCATGTTTGAGGGTGACCTTGAGTGTGTCTTTGTACCATTGCCTTTGGCTGCCCTTTGAGCGCTGGTCAACAGAGAGCTGGGAAAAGAGAATCTGGTGAGGGAGGCAGTTCTTGGACATCCAGATGCAGTGGCCCATCCATCAGAGTTGATTTCTCAAGAGCAAGGCTTTGATGCTGGTGGACGCAGCTTCATGGAGGATGCTTGCATTGGTCCGGATGGCCTCCCATTTGATCCCCAGGATTCGACGCAAGCACCACTGGTGAAAGTGCTCAAGGGTCTTAATATGGCATTGGTAGATGGTCCAGGTTTCACTGCAGTATAGGAGGGTGGTCAGCATAACAGCTTTGTAAACCAGGACCTTCACAGACTTCCAAAGGTCTCTATTTTCAAAGACATGTTGTCGCAGCTTGAAGAAAGCAGCACTGATGCAGTTGACCTAGTGCTGGACTTCTTTATCGATGGTAGCCCGTTGAGAGAGGTGGCTGCTGAGATGCGGAAAGTGCTCCATGTACTCCAGAGCCTCCCTGTCTATGCAGATAGCACGAGGAATGTTCAGCTACCATCCTGTGCAGAGTGAGCCATCACGCAGCAATCATCCACAAACTGAAGGTCGTGGATGTCCTTGGTGATGAATTTCATTTTTGCCTGGAAGCGCCCAAGATTGAAAAGCTTCCCATTCGGTCGATATTGGATATTGAGGCCAGATGGTAGATCATCTTGGTGGATGATGATGGTCAGGTAGATGGTGAACAGCGTGGGGGCGATCATGCAACCTTGTTTGACCCTGGTCTGGATGTGGAAGGTATTAGTTTTAGATCTTCCACTCAGGACAGTGGCAGTCATATCATCATGCGGGAGCCTCGGCATGGTGACTAAACTACAAACAAACAGGCATATCTAGGTAAAAGCATTTATGATTTTATACTCTGGAAATGCAGCAGCCCCATGAATGATGTGTGCCCACGGAGCCTGGGGGGTGCACAGCGACCGCTCACAGGCGGTGGCGGTGGCTGGGAGGGGTGTGGTGAGCACCAACCGGCAACCACCCACAGATGCTGCCAGAAGCATCAGTGGCATTCAGCAGCAATCAGCGACCGCCCATAGACACTGGGAGGTGGCAAGCAGTGACCACCCGCAGGTGCTGCTGGCAGCACTTCTCTCAGGGGATGCACTGCCAATCTCAGGTGGTGCACATGCACACACGTGCACCCCCTATGTGTCACCAATGAGCAGCCTTGTGGCAGAAATGAAACTCTGCTAAGCTAAAAAAAAGCTCAAAATCCCCAAACTCCATCTTTGAGTAAAAAAAAAAGATGGTATTGATATCTGCATTGAGCACTTTTCCAGGAACTTGAAAGGGTCTTTGAAAGGAATCAGACTGATTGCCTAATGCCTAACATTTCATTAAAGGAAGCTAACTGAGACACTGGCAAAGATCCTCCATTATCACCTTTCAGCTTCAGATATCTTGGGTAGAACTGGCCAAAAATGGGTGTTGAATTCCACAGAAAATGTCTACTTTTGGCAAAATATCAAAAATGACAGTATTTTAAATCAGTAATGCAGCTGTGGTGCCTCATTCTCTCACCCTCCTCCTGTGCAGAGTGAACTCAGTCTGGTTGAACTGCAGCCCTTCAATCCATTGTCTTCCTTCACCAGCAGGGAAGACTGTTGTGCCTGGTAAGAGATGGAGTCCAAGCAAGGAGTCTAGCCTACAGAGGACAATGAAAGTGTAAGGCACCAAGGCAGTATTTTAAAACTGAAATGCTGACATTTTATTTTTTACCCAGACTGCTGAATTATTCTGCATCGGAAAAGGATTTTCCATGATACCTGGATATGACAACTGCTGATAGAGGCTGTCCCAAGTGTATCATGTCAGATGTGGTCTAGCTGGGGAACATCAGAGATGAGAAGAAGGATGTCAGACATCTGATCTACATCTCCTATGAGTCATATTGAAATCAACATGCTTCAGTCTGTGGACCAAGTATTTCAGCTTTGAAGTAATTTTTTTTCAGTTTTCATTGGTTCAGTTTTCTGTGCACAATGGAATAACTGTGGAAAGCAGACTGTTTTTGCAAAAAAATATATTTAAAAAAAGAAACGAGTATTTTATTTAAAAACATCTGATGATAATTTTTTGAACAGCCCTAATACTACTTTCCTCCCACCCCTATGCTTGCATTCAGCCATGGGAACATTGGTAAGAGCTGCATGTATCACTAAATGTGTACTTAAGAGCCTATGCTTGAATACACGGTCGTCCAACTTCAGTGGGTCTGAAGCCCACATGCTGCACTGCCATATGCTGTAATGCAAGCCCTTGCAATTTCCTATCCCTTGCCATGCAGGCAGTGTCAGCAGCACACAGCCCCCTCATGGGCCTTTCTGCCCCACATGGCAATGGGAGAGGACGTTTCAGGGGTTTACCAGGCACGTGCTGGCCCCTTATGGGCCACATGTGGCCCTGCTTTAATACATAGGAAATGTTTTAAAAGTTTCTTAAGCATAATCAAAATAAGACAGCAGTATCTCTTTTTGGTAGTCTGGAGGCTTTCCTTCAACATGCCAGTCTCTTCATCTGATACAAGTACAGATTGATTACTCACTTTAATATACATTTCTACCTTTAAACAGATGGTCACACACACAGGCCTGCCCATTCACTTTTGCTATTGTGTTGGGGTGCACAAGAGATTTGAAACTGCAAGTACTAATCCATTGTAAACATAATGGCCATTACATTCACAGATTTGACCTACGAGCTTTTTAGTCAGTGGATGTATGTCAGAAAAAGTCTCTCTCAGTGTGGTTTTGGGTCAAGTGGGGTGCAAAGATATGTACGCCCATTTTGTGAATCGACTTTTGGCCATGTCCACATAAGTGTGCACGTGCATTTGCAAAATGCACCCTGTGCACATGATTTGGTTCTCCATGCTGTATATTTGTTCAACTCGAAGGAAATCCTGGTATAAAAAAAAAGTGCTCAGAAAAAGAGTGAGGTGGCGCACATGGCAGCAGCATGTACCACACAAAATAAGAGCCTGGCTGGCCAGAGCTCCCCACACCTGGACTGCTGCTGCTGGAGCCCCAGAAGGCCCCCAGGTAAGGCTGCTGGAGCCAGCCCAGGTGCTGGCCCCAGCCTCCCTGACCCCACCTGGAACATTTTTCCCTGGGCTAAGCCCTTGTGCAGGGGTGTGCACTAGAGCTAAAAGCAGTGGCACAAATTTGTGCTGCTGCTTTTTTCCCCACGGCAACTGCACACCCCTGCTTGTGGGGACATGGCCTTTGGCTTCATTTTGCCTGCAGCAAAAAATTGCTTCAACAAGTAACATGAGTAAAAACAATTACTACTGTCCTGCTTTCCACCCATCCTGAAGTAATTTTAAGCCTGGACAAAGAAATGAATGTTATGGCTTTTAGCCGCACTGTGACTGAGAATGCCAGCTGAGGCAAGAGTAACCACAACTAGGATCTTATTCACTTGCAAAGAAGGAAACCAAAGAGTGAAAATCAGGGTGGATTTGTTTAAAATCAAATCAATTTAAAACATTAATCAGGAAGCCTCGATTTAATCATTTTTTTTTTTTTACAAAAAGTGCATTATTGTTGTTTGATATCCTTTATTTATTTAACTTTGCACTTTTAGAGAGAGGTAAGGGCTTGACTCTGTGTACACAAACTTGCAGAGAGACAGCAGGGTGATGGGTAGGTAATCAGGTCTGTTATCTCTCATCTCCACATACTGCTGTTAACAAGGATACTGTCTCTCAAGACACAAATCCACAGTTGGAGAACTGAAACTAAGCATCACAGAGATGCTTAATGGGATCTTCTAGACTGAGCACTGAATCCCATTGGGTAGAATGGTTTTCTTTAATCTTTACTAATCCACAGAGAAGCCTCTGGGAACCCCATAAGGTTGGGCCCGTAATATAGTCCGTGGCCTGTTATGACCTATTTATAAAACTTTTCTAAAAAGGTTACATGAATATATTGTCTCAAATAGTATATAACGAGAAGTTAAAATCCCAATTCCATGATGATATCTTTGATCTTTAGCATATCTTAAATTAAAACTATCTTTATACAGGTTTATTTAAAAAAATCATCTTAACAAAAAAATCAAAACATATGATTAAATAAAAAAACGGATTTAAATAAAAAATCCATGGGGGGAGGGAAGGGGAGGGGTCAATGTTGATTTTTTCCAGCCTGGTCAAAATATAGCTTGGGAAAAACTAGGTGAGTAATTAGAATAGAAGGCAGGTCAATATGGAACATTAGTGAAAGAGCAAGGAGCTCAGTTGCACACTGAAGAGAAGAAGAGAATGAAATTATATGAAAGAAAAACAAAACAAATGGGTGACACCTGACAAGTGATTATGTATGTGAAGAAGACCTAAAGGCAGAAGACTACTACAGAATAAAGTAGCGCTATGTATAAAGCGCAAGGATTTTTATACGATGAGTGGGGGCTGCTGAAAGTTGTTTTATGACAGAGACCATGAAACACAGTTACTGATGGGCAAAAATACACAGAAAACCTACATAAGTCAGGCTTGTTTTTAATCAAGTGGAAATCAAGACTTTTTGGAAGAAAAAGTATGTTTTTAAGCTACTGAGGGGGGTGGGCAAAGTGCGGCCTGCTGGGCCATTCTATCTGGCTCGCGGGGCCCCTAAAAAAAAATATATATATATTTATCTGCCCCTGGCTGCCTGTCATGCGGCCCTCAATGATTTGCAAAACTCAGTAAGCAGCCCTCCGCCCAAAATAATTGCTCACCCCTGCCTCAATCCATTAGATAGCTATATGCTTGGATATGGTTAGGTACCATTGACATTGCTAGGAATGCATGACAAATTCTGTATGGTATGAACACAAAGGTTTCCAGTGAGCAGGAAGAAAAGCTAGAGTTTCCTTATATTATTTCAATTTCTGTTTTTGAAAGAGCAAGGTTTAGAAATGCTATGGTAATTGGAAGCTGAGCATTCACAAAGAGTAAGCATCTGTTATCTGACCAGACTTCAGGTAACTAAAAAAAGTAATATTGGCCATAGTTGCAGGGAAATAACATTTTGCAAACAGAGAAAACCTGTCTTCTACAAGCCTGCTGTTTTTCTAGAGAGTGTGCTTTGTACTTTAGATGCAGAAATTTAATTTGATACAAATTAAGTTTCTAGTCCCTTTGGTGGTTCTTTAGGCCATCTGGTGGTATTGATAGAGTTTATTTTGCAAATCAATACACAACTCTCCTATTGATTCTAGATATAAACCACTTGAAGAATTGGTACCTTTATTAGTACCAACCAAAGATTGTTGGAGCCAGTTAAAGGTTAAGACCATTAAACTAAATGCCCAGCTTGAATGACTGGAAAGTAATTATAAATACTATTATAAAGTATCAGAATCATGAATCTACAGAAGAGATTTTGGTTCTGGGTTTGAAAGCTAAAGGAAAAGAAAATCAGCACTAGGTCAGATCTATTTTTTCCTCCATAGATTTAACAGCAAATTATGTGTATTGATCAGTTATTTCTTCTTTCTATGTGGATAAAACAGGTTATCGGTTAAGCCTCCTGACAGGAGAAAGTTATTTCCAATATATATTAAGACCGCGCAAATAGGGAAGTATTCGATTCGTATTCGGCCTATTTGGAGGACAGTGATTCGATTCAGAGATTCAGATCACTGTCCTGAATTGATTTGGATGAATCAACTTCAGAAGATTTGGCACTGATTCAGAGAGATTTGGATCGGCTGGGGACAGGCAGGCACAGCCAGGTGGCTGCAGGTTCTCCTTCGGCTCCTTCGGCTGTGCCTGCCTCTCCCTGCTTGGGGGAAGCTGAGGGAGAAGCCCCCA